GCAGCGGGGCAGCGTCCATTGTGGACATGGACGACATATACTCGGATATTTTCCCGGCCACAATGGCCGAGGGAATCTATATGCCCGATGTTTTTGGGGAGCAGAAATATGGACCGGGGGCCCACGAAGGGTTTGCCCGATTAGTTAACACGTCGTACACTACAAATGCGGACGTAGGTAAGATTATAGAGAAATATTTGACATCGCAGAACTGTCTGGGTGTTACTGTACCGCGTTGTAACCCTGAAATGTGGGGAAAAATAGCAAAGCCAATACAGCAGAAAGACGTACAACTGCAGGAGATACAGAAATATCTAAACTCGGGCTTAGTACCGGTATTGAACCTTACAGAGGCGTTAATGGGCTTACCCCAATTTAGAGATACGCTTCGCCCACTTTGTGTGGACGCTTTGGCTTTGGTTGGTAATGCTTTTCAGACCATCTCAGTGAAGAGAAGGTATTTCATGAGACCGGCACTGCCGGCGGCTTATCAAGCCATTTGTGCTAAGGGAATGTCAATTTCAACGCAATTGTTCGGAGACGAGCTGGGGAAAAAAGTTAAAGAATTAAATAAAACGGCGAAGGCGTTTAGCGGAATGAACCAGCATGCACAGAACAGGGGCAGAGGTGCCTGCGGTGGTAACCACCAGAACGGACAGAGGGGCCGTGGACTCGGACGGTCACGTCCTTTTTTACGGCACGGCTACCAGGCCCCGAGGGGCCGAGGGTACGGGTACAAGAAACCCCAATACCAAGCAAGTGGAAACCACCAGCAGAGCGGTCCACGGAAACAGAAGGACTAGATAGCAAGGTACGTGAATCTTTACCTTCAGGTCTGTTGCAATCGAAATTGTCGTATTGGCAGAGTATCACTGATGATAAATGGATACTCGAAACAGTCCAAGGGCTGAAACTAGAGTTTGAGGAAATTCCAGTACAGACATGGAATCCAATTCCCATAGCTTTTGATGACAATGAGATGGAATTGATAGATTATGAAGTAGAGGAGCTATTGAGAAAAGGGGCAGTGATAGTCAGGGCCTTGCAAAAGATAAAAGAAGACAAGGTGAGTCTAGCGATGATTGTAGTTCCTTTGTGGCGAAACCAGGTATGGCTACCTACGCTATTAGACGTTGTTGTGGTTGCGCCAGCTCAGTTGCCCAGGTGGTGGGGACTTCTTCTATCCCCGCAGGGCGAACCACATCCTCTAGCAAAGAGTTTGAGTGTGATCGCTTGTTGCGTATCAAGAGATCCTTGCAAAGGACAGGCCTATCGAGACAAGCTGCCATGCTGGTCTTCTCATCATGGAAGAGATCAACAACTAAGCAATATGACTTGGCCTGGAGAAACTGGGTGTCTTGGTGTGGTGAGAGACAGGTCGGTGCCAATTGTCCCACTGTCTCGCAGGTAATAGCGTATTTGACACATTTGTTTAACGCTGGTAAGTCTTATAGCGCCATAAACACACATAAATCTATGTTGGTACAGACCACACCTCTGTTGGGTAATACTTGGCTGATTGGGAATTTGGTTATTTCAAGATTCATTAAAGGGGCTTTTCACGCAAAACCCTCTAAACCTAGGTACTCCACGACATGGGATGTTTCTATTTTGTTATGAAGTATTTGGAAACTTTGTTCCCGCATGCGAATCTAGAGTTAGCAATATTGACCAAATAATTGACTTGTTTGATAGCGTTGGTATCGGCACAGAGGGCCCAGACATTTGTTAATCTGGATGTACAATACATGCAGGATTTGGGTGACTCGATAGTCTTTACCATCCCTGAGTTAATGAAAACATCTAAACGTTCGGATCCTTTTTATAAGGTAAAATTGATGAAATATTCCAATCCGAAACTTTGTGTTATAAAATTGCTAAGGGAATATCTTAAAAGAACAGTTTCTATACGCAAGTCTCAAAAACTGTTAGTCTCTTTCAAACAGGGGACACCGGTATCCACTTCCACGTTGGCGAGGTGGATTCGCTGTGCCGTGACAGAGGCAGGAGTGAATGAGGGATTCAAGCCACATTCAGTGAGGGGAGCAGCGTCATATGCTGCTTTTTCGGCTGGAACTTCGCCGAAGGCGATTTTGGAAACCGCATCATGGATATCGGCTCAGATATTCCGGAGGTTTTACCTACGGGATGTGGAACCTACAGCAGAAACTTCGTTTGCTGAGGGTGTGTTGCAGCAAACGGGAACCCTATGAACTTTGGGGGTGCCTTATGAACTTTTGAATTCACTTGTAAATTTTACATGATTAAAATAATTGAACTTAGCTTTTTATCTTGGGTTCTCTATTAGTATTAGTGTCACATTTACTGATGTTTGTTGTCAAACACTTTGAAAAATGTTGGAGAATCTCTCCCCCTCCCCCCCCCCCCTCCAAGCTTGCGATGGATGAGAGGGATTCTCCGTAATGAATGAAAGCCCGAAGGCTGGACGGTTAAGTTACCCTCCACAACCTATCGGGTTTTGCCACCCTTTAGTCCGGTCAGTTTGCCAACAAAGGATTATCTTTGAATGAGTGAGCTGGCACGAGTTGTCATGCCTTTTATAGGTGACCTCTGGGTGCAGGGGTCATGAACGCTTAGGGTGTTTTTGACCCTTTGAAGGTCAGTCGCACACCTAATACGGAGAATACCTCTCATCCATCGCAAGCTTGGGATGAGGGGGGGGGGGGGATTCTTTGTTTTTCCCTTGTGAACCATTATTTACCTCGGAGAACCAAAGAATCGTGATTCCAAACAATTGAGCAAGAGGCATCACACCTTAGTTGTGAATAGTTTATATGAGTGTTTTCAAGAGTCTAGAATGAACTGTAGTGAATAATTTGTTTGGATTACGGGACCAATCAAGGAACACACTAGATTTATGAAATGCCATAGCTACATAATGTAGTACACAAGAACGTATTACTCCAGTCACAACAAGCTTGACATAATTAAAGACTAGTAACTGAGTTCTCTGGTGACCTGCACATTCTCCTTGGTTTAAGGGAGGCATTTTGACAGGTCAACGTGTGGTACCGGAAGCTTTTAATTTTCTGGATGATCTAATTTCGCCCTTATTTAGTTTGGGATTATGGTTCCATTTTTTTGTAGGTACATTTCCTAACTCTTGTTCTTTCGTCTTTTGTATCGATTTTTGAGTTAAAAGTCAGTGACGGCAAGTCTAACGTATAGGGTTTTTTTCTCGTTTTTATTTCTTCGAAGATTTTTTCTCGAACTATCTAGTTACAATGCAATTTTGATCAACTGGTTATTTGGTACCTTTCAAATTCACATGGTGTCATTCGATAATATATTATCATTATTGTTGAACGTTGTTGTTCTTTATGCCAACAATAATAACATAAGGATATCATTCAATTATAGCCTTTGGCTGAGGTCGATACCTGCGTCCTCGGTCAATGTATCTTTTCTCGGGTCGATAAATCCAGGTATCGACCGAAGTTAAAGGCTAGAATTGTTTTTTTTTTTTCAAAACAGTAATGTAAGCAATCTGAAAAAATATCACAACCACAGAGCTACGGTTCGTTTATTTGGAGATAGGTCGTAATGCTATTTTTAGAATCACCCAGTCCTTTAACAAAAATATCGCGCTCAAGGTCAATATCGGATTTATCGGCGAACACGTGATGCACTTCTAACCAATCACGTATACGGGAATAAAATGAACAAATAATAAAGTATAACAACTGTTTTCTATCGCTCTTATTCCTATTAAATTTGTTTTATTTTGAATTTTGTATTTAAAATACCACGCATTCAATAATATCGATGATTGAAGACAAGTTTACAATGATCTTTGAAATAAAATATTATTAAATTAAGATTAACATGCCTAAAGTCAAGTATGCACTATTAACATACTCTGTAGTAATGTTTGTAGTAACAGAAATAAAACCTTTCTTAAAATCAGTATTGCGATTGTAAAGGCCGACTATGCAATAACAAATTAATAATATACTTTTAAAATGTGCATAGCCAAACGGTGTCTGATCCGTAAAGCAAAATAATAATCATGGGCGGCAAACGCGACTTCAGATATTCAATTACTAATTCAATAACACATTGTAATTTCCACATGCATAACGTTGTCAACGTGAAGTTGTTCGAGGTGAAACTCTAAAACAAATCGTGAAAGAAAAATGTCTGCCAAGTTTGAATTTGTATAGATGAATCAGTTTGGGCGCCAGTTCAATTGCGATCTTTTGATTTCTCGTCATTTATTGAAATCATAGGGTTTCTTAATTAGTTGTACATGTAAATTCGTCAGCATGCACATATCAAGCAATAGTGATTATATAATTATGTTTTTTTTCTTCCCATATTTTTAAAAATATAACAACATATAATTCGACAGAGTTTTCGGTGTTTTAGATCCGAAATTAACGTTTTTCTATTGTCGTTGAAACAAATAACATGTCTTGATAAAACAGATGCATGTGACATGGGTGCGTCATACCTTTTAGAGGTGTTGTCAGCCAAGAAATTACAATTGCTCTGCAATATTGCATCTGGCGCCATAACTCAAGTCTTATTAACCAACATGGCTGATATCTTTACGAATGTCAGTTCTCTGCATCCTCTGAACGAATTTGACACGTCTACATAATTCAGTGGAAGTGATAAACGAAATAACACGGATTTCTATACATGTGTACCATTAACCTACGGCTTCTTTTTTTAACAACTACCAGAAATTGGTTTGAATGGAAAGATTGGAAATCGACCCCAGTGTGGGGACAAACTTTTTCTCATTTATCTATTTCTTGATTCTAAACTAAAACAGGACGCCAAAATGCACTTTTTGCAACGAAATAGGCGGTAAAGACTAAAAGTGTTTACAAGTTGCAATTTATCAACATGCCACAAAAGTTGGGGAAGCTTTAACAATTACATTATATTTTCAAAGTTGAGTTTTCGTGTGGGTGTATGGAGAATAGGAGCGTAGAAATGAGAATACTAAAATTGATCTACAATTCACTTACCTTGACGTGGCGGTAATGCACTGTAAACCAAATAAGGAGTGGAATACAGCACATGATAAGTCCTGATGCACCTAGAACTACGCTACGCTGCAACCAGTTAAGGGTGAGGATGCAGGGGGAAGGATCTTCACACGCATCACATCCGGCTGCGCACGGCAGACACTCGAAGGAAATATCATACACGTTTTCTTCTCTCTTGAATACAAACAATGGCAAGCTATTTTAATGGCGGTCAATTCACGATAATCCATGGAACATTTTAATTGCTTCGATTTTAATGTCTTATTAACAGCTATGGTCTTTTAAGGACGTTGCATGTTTTATAATTGACCTCAAATACTTTTAATAATCTATCTACATTGTACTCTTTTTATGCAGTCTTAATTTCAAGTAACTTATATGCACTAATCTCTTAAAAAAAAAAAAAAGTGCAAATTATTTTTCCAAGTAATACAATGTTTAAGCAACTGCTTTGTAAATAACGTTGACGATTTGCATTCCAAATAAATTGTCAATAAAGCGAAACATGAATTAGTTTCGTTCATCATTTCTGTTTATTCTCCTTTTTCAAAACATATTATTTTCAACGAGCAGTTACCTATATAGAACAAGCAATTTCTTTGATATCTCTTAAAGCTGAATTCACCTATGTTGAATTGATTTTACAATATGGTTTGTTTTCAAAGTTAATTTTTGACATTCAGTTTTAGTAAAGTAGGGATACACAAAGCATACGGCTAAAGATTTTGTCTAACTTGCAGCATTACAACAAAACTCAAAACTCAAGACTGATCATACGTTTCAACGAATATGAAGAAAATACATTAGACAACAAAACTGTACAGAAGGCAATTGAGTACAAACATTCTATCACATTTGTTGCTACTCTATACCGGGAATCTTTTCGCTGCATTTTAATTTTCGCCTTTTTTGCCCGCCGTAATGAGGACGAATTTATCATTACAGCAAGCACTAGTCAACAACATAATGAACATAGTACAGTAATTAAATCTGAAGGGCGAAATTAATACTGGGCGAATACACAACAACATATCCTGTTTCCGGCATGCATTCACGCAAACACGCAAACACAACACACATAGAGGCACGTTCTTAAATGACCTTAGCTGTTAATAAGGACGTTAGACAAAATAATAAAAAAAATAAAAAATGGGCGAATATGAATTTTAACGGCGAGGTGTCAAAAGTTTGACTGGGCGAAAATGTCCAAGTATAAAGTATTTACACTCTATCACTCTAATAAATTTTATCCATTTACAGAGTAACCCATGTTCAGTTGGCAATGCTGTTGTGTGTTTCTATACATTATAATACTACATACCCTTGTTTTCTTAGCGTACTCATATTCCACTTCAGTTCCATTGAAGTAACGGTGAGGCGAGTCAAGGTTTGGAAAATAATAACCATCGAGACAAACACACTTGTACGATCCTCTACGGAAGCCCAACCGGGGGAGAGGTTCGCACTAAATGAAATCAAATTCAATCATTAGCCAAATTGAATGGAAGTGACGATGACGTATAATGTCTACAATGTAAAAATTTAAATCTAAATCCAATATGTTTCAATTTTTTCCAAATTAGGCAAATTAAGTTTACCGAACTTGGTTAAATTTGAAACAAGTTTCCTTTAAGCATAGTTAGCTTGCAATGTACTTTTATTGTGTTTCGACATGAAAATTATATTTACTGAACAGGGGAATAATAAAATATGTAGTTTATTACCCCCTTGGTTTTTACAGTTGAATCAGGCTTTATTGACATTTTATACATTTATAAAATCGTTTATCAGCATAATCATCAGATTTATCAAAATAAAAGTTCAGTATTTGTAATGGGTGTCTTTAACAAGCTTTACTGTCAGGTATTCAGTCTTTTTATTTAAATGTGTAGTTCATTAACCTGAGTTATCCGAAACTCGTCCGTTACGGAACGAATATTCAGTCTATATAGTGTTAGAATGAACACAGTTTAAATGTGTCGGTATTAATCCGCCTGATACCTACCCGTGTTGTGGACGATTTACACCTTGCTGACCCCGCGAAGACGTTTGGTTCCGTGGCACCATCTGGCTGCGGACACTGGTCAATGTCCACTTTCTGCAAGGCTATGTCTATTCCACTTGTCCCCCTGTTAAAAACAAAAGAAAAAACATGAAAGTTGATTTTAACATTACATACCAATTTTATTGAATGCGCCCAATCTTCCAATTTTGTTATATTGAAAAAAATGTACAGAAGTGGGAATAGGCAATAAAAGGACGTTACGAAAAGACAATTATAGGAAATGAAACATTACCAAAAACAAAAGGATGCTACACGAAGTCCCTAAATCTTTCATTTGATTTGAAGTTTAAAGTTTCTCTCCGCATGGTTTTTTGGTATGCTTCTTCCATGCATTTGAATATTACGTAACTTACGTAAAAATACTGGTGTGCAATTTTATTATAATATCGTGTGATTTAAAAACAAAACAAACAACAAAAAACTAAAAAAAAAAGACCCATACATCTTCAGAAAACTATCGGTAAAAACATTAAGTGGATTTTCACAGTTTACTGCTTCAAGCAAAAAATCACAATCATTCTAACTAAACTGTCAACACCTCCGCAGCTTTTTAAAGAACTTTATCATCATCATTGGGATTTAGTTGAAGTTGAAGCTTTATTTATTATCTTTCCCATCGATATCATTTGTCATGTTTACTTCCAGACTCTCAGAAAATCACCGTTTTATCCTTCACACTCTGTCACATATGGTAACTGTACATCATAGCTGAACAATCGCTGTCCTCTTTTATGTTTTAAATGACAAGCCGTGGTTCTAACGTAGAGGCCTGAGGTACGCCAATATCGATCGGTTTTGAATCTGCTATTGCACCAGAAAAACTTTCAAATTGAACTCCCCATAGAAGTAAGAGTTCAGAGAATTATTATTTTTTTTTTTTTTTATAAACATTATGTAAATCTGAAGACGATACACCATATTCCTGGAGTTTATGTAATAAAACATAATTGTTAACTTGAATTAAAATTTGGCTAATTTAAAGAAATATTACTCTAGTATGAAAACATTAATCTCAATATATTATTCTTAACCATGTTTCAAACATTTCACTTCCAAATTCACTACAGCAGACCTTGTAACATGGGCTGTTGGAAAACCAAATTGGCTGCCATCTCTTTGTTTGCAGTGAACCAAGAGTATAACGCATTTTGCTGCATCGTTTTATTTTACCGAACAAATCAAGGTAATAAATATGTATCAAGCTATTGACTGTCCCATCGAATAATTATGCTTCACTTATGCTTCGTCCGAGTGAAACATTATCAATTGAAGAAAAAGAAAGAATCATGTTTCCCGACACTTACGGCAATAACTACACTATATTTTATTATAACGAAAAGTTAAAATTAAAAAAAAAAACAATCATTGTAGTCAGTCGAAGCGCCATTGTTAACGTTGGCTTCCGGTATTCGGAACTAGGTTGTGGTGGCTCTTACCCATTTTTCTAAAGAGGCTCCGAATAAGGGAAACATGATCGGGAAAACTTGAGCGCGAGTAGACGACATGATGTTTTATTGACCCGTCATGTGACCAGTATCATCCAATCAGACACAGTGTTATAAAGATGAGCTTTAATAATATCATTCCATACCTATAATCGTTTTCATCTTTTTTTTTAGAAATCCAAGCGCCATGCTATACTACTTGTACTGATAATATTACGTTGTGTACGTATCTGCTTTCCTTACATGCTTTAGCAGACGAAGTCATCATTCCCATAAACTCATAATGTCCCCATCGTTAGTTTGCATCAAGGCGTGTTAACGTCATTAGCGTTTTATCAAATCAACCTGGCGTAACCTATTTTACTTGCCACAATTTTCTCATAACGACCATTGATGTGTGGTTTTAAACGAACTTGACCTTTCCCCGTGGTATAATAACACGGTCCCCTTAGATAGACTAAGGACGATCTGGTGCGAAAACAACTACAGCAGTCGTCGTTCTGTTAGGGACAGCAATTTATTTGTAGAAGTGTTGCCGAATTCTACGTAGAGGGAATTCTGATACACATTTAGGATAGGAAGCATAATAGATATTACGTGAGTATAACTCGCCAGGGAAGGAGATTTGGACATGGAAAATACGCTACTTAAGTGAATGGCACGTTCCATTAGCACATTAATAGATAAGCAAGGTAATCTGGGTATTTCTACAGCAACCCATTGAGAGACACTTTGTATACTCCTTGTTTCCCCCAAAAAAATATTTTATTGTTGTGAAGTAAGTATGAAATGGTGTTTTATCATTCTGACTTCGTTGTGTTTAATTTTCGTTTTGTTTGAGGAAAACACTTCTAAATCCAATCAGATCAATTTTAATACGCATTGCTGTGATAAGCATAAAAGAGAATTAATATCCTCGTGTGTCCTTTTCTGCTGACGTCATCAATGTAGTCACAGAGTGTTTACGAAAGTTAAAGATTTTAAAGACTTAATCGTGTTTTACAACAATTTTGAAACAAATTTTAAACTTAAAGCTAAGAGTACCAACAAGTTATTTTTTACCACTATCATCAATGTCAAACTATTTGTTTAAGTCCTTTTCAAAAGAATACACCCATAAAAGTCACATGTAACAATGTATTTTATAGGACCGTAATTGTCTGAAACCAATTGTTTGAAAATAGAAAAAAAAAGAAAAAAACCCCCAAGAAATCTGCATTTGTCAAAATCAGGACCTTTATATTGTCAAGCTTTTACTTTACCGATATTGCAGGAATTATGCTGCACACCATCAAACTTAATGTCCAATGTATGAGCCGAGCCGCAAATCACAAGAAGAATTTTGACAAGGCTAGTAACTCTAGACCAGAAAAAAGTATTTTGGCAGATTCAATTTCTTTATAAAAGGAAGAATAGTCCAAACCAAAAATAAGCAAGAGTAAAGATGTGCCTTGCTCTCGATCTATTCTGTTCTACACTATTACGAGAGGAAAAACATAGTTTCTGTTCTTCTCAAAGGTTTACGTTGACATCTGTGATGAAAACGTGTATGTATATGTCTTTCTCTCAATCTGGTTCTAAATCTTCCGCGAGAAAAACTAGTTCCTGATCACCCCGAAGGTTTCCGTTGTGCTCAATTATTATGTGAATGCAAACGCCTGATTCTTCTTTAGCTTTCAGTATTTACCCAGTGATAACAAGGTTTTCTGGTTCCGGTTCCTTCCTCCTATTACACATGTAATTATCTCTTAAGAATCATGCAAACTTACTACTTATCATCCCATAGCTTTTCCGGAAGTATTGCTGTTCCCCTTATTCTCGTGTCCTCAAATTTGATCCAATCGGTAACCAAATACACGCCTCTGCAATATGTTACATCCGGTAAAGAGCTACATTTGTAGCAACTGTAGGTATATCTATTGTTCTGTGTATCCTCTCGGGTTTACATATAACCCAGAGATAGCAACTAAAGGCTTTTTTCCTTTTTCCCGGATTATTCTCCAGATATTTACCTGCCTACCGAACCGGGTCACCTCTAGATTTTACATTCAATCCTATTAAAACAAGACGTTATGTGGTTAAAAATGTAGTACCGGGGTCTTTTATTCTACATTGCGATAAAGAACGTTAATAAACCTCTTGTTCGATTGTCCCTAAAGATTTATAATTATACAATAATAATAAGCATAGTTATAAACGTAGTTTCCGATCGTTCAACATTTTCATTTCACCCAGTGATAACAAGCGTAGGCATACGCCGGTCTTCGGATAACCTTTAGAGTTTACGATCTACCTCGTGACAGTAAGTGTATGCACGTGCTTACTTCCGGTTGTCAGTGTAAACCAGGTACACTCAAGGTTTTACAACAGAAGATATCTACTTAACCAAAGAATGCTCATGCATTCCATACCTATGTACATAGAGTATGTGTTCGTGACAACACGTAAACCTTGTAAAGGTTTATGAGTTTTCTCAGGAATCTCTTTGAGTCTACGATTGTTTTAGATCTTTTCAACATTATGCCGAGGATATAAACGACAGAAACACTTTGGCATGTCAGAAATAATTCTTCATCAGCGAATTACACTAAAAATACAATTCGGGTGACATGTCCACTTAAGAATCGCCGCACGTTCACCGGAAGTGGTGGTCGTATCCTCAATGTCGGATAACCGACGCACGCAATGGCAGACAGGAAAAAGGGGCCTGTATGGAAAAAAGATCGACTACTTTTCTCAACTAAACCAATCTTTCTGTTGTATTTTTTCAAGCATTTCACGGAATAATACTCTTCGCGTGCTTCAGAAATCGAATAACTGATCTGACTAATCGATGTTTGTTTAGATTGAGAGGATGAACAAAATCTTTCTCAAATATCGGTATTACCATCTGTTTTATATGCATCAACGTGTTGACAAATAATGACATTAACTCTTCTTGCATAAGGTATTGATAGGCGAGGTTGATGCTAACTGTTTACATAGAAATTTGTGTAATAACTATGGGGAATTACAGAACATGGTTTAGTGTTGTGAGATCTAATAAAGAAAGTACATCTATGTAAAGCTTACCGAACGTTGACATTTTGATGAGGGGGGCACTTTGGCCCTTGAGAGACATCATCGGCCCTTGTAAAGGTATTTGTTATGCGAAGAAATTAAAACACAATCAAATCTTAACGTTGTACAAAGAATTGTTATAGAACAATTGTTAAGGTGTGAGATCTAATAAAGAAAGTACATCTATCTCCATTTCTCCAAACGTTGACATTTTGATGAGGGGGCACTTTAGCCCCTGCGAGACATCATCGGCACTTATAAAGGTATTTGTTGTGCGAAGAAAATAAAACACAATCGAATCTTAATGTTATACAAAGAATTGTTATAGAACATATTCGATGATAGAATATGCATATGTATTATTTTCTGCACTCTAGATTAATTGCCGTTAGTTTGCCTTCATTGTCAATATGCATATCAGTTTGAAAATGAAGATTCGTTAAATTTTACTGTTATTTTTCAAAGTTTTTATATTTCATTGGTTTTGAATTGTTTTCAATAAGTAAATTCATCCTATTTGAAATATTTTGATATTGAAAAAGATATATAGAAATAAGAT